TTTTTTAGTTAGTACGGCAACTGTACGGTTGCCACACGGCAGCCGTACGGCTACCTTGAGACCATCGCACGTCAATCGTACGATTTCATACTGCGAAGGCTGCACAGTGATCGTACGAACATCTTGCGGCTGACTTGCGAATACCTCGCGTCTAGTGATAGTCTGTCTAAAGACTGCTGCGGAACGTACGAACAACGTATAGATTCGCACGGCTGACCCGCAAATGCCTTGCGAAAAGTTAGCGTCATCCCTCCTCTTTTTAAAAGTTCGTCTGTCTTGTTCGTCATCAGTCACTGTCGAGATTTCAAGAAGAGAAGGTCATGCCTCCAAAACAAAGATCTCAGAAGGGAAAGGGAAAATTCCGGTTGCTGAACCCCATTGAACCCGAGGAAACCGAAGTACCACCAACCCAGGATTCAGATGAAGAAGGCACGTGCTTGTACAGGAGTGACAAATATGCCTTTACTTCACAGCAAGAGAATACACTTGTGCAGTGATTTAGCGAACATCCAGAGTTTTACCAAAAAAGTCATCAGAGATACGCCAACAAGCAGAACAAGGACAAGCAACTAGAAATCATAGCTACACGACTGAATGAGCCCGTGAACGCCTGCTGCAGAATGAGGCTGTTGCCGCATACCAAGGTGTGTATATATCCAAATCTGGACAGAGGAGATAATTCCTCCTCCTCATGGCGATCGCACGAACACCGTACAGCTGTCTTGCAAATTCGTGCTTGCCGTGCGGTGGTTGTAAGAAACTTTGCAAATTCTAACGGCAGCCTTGCGGGTGCCGTGAGAATTTGTGCGGCAGCCTCACGATAAACGCATGACAGCCGTGCGAACATGTCGTTTTTTTTCGTACGTTCAACCTGCGAACACCGCACGGTTCGTGATTCAACCGTGCGAACAACGTACGGAGATCGCTTTGCAAATTTGCAATATGTGCGACGGGTGCGAATGGGTAGCGATATTGTTTGCGGCGGAAATCGTACGACGAAAAAATCGCACGGCTGGTGTGAAACAGACTTTAAGGTTGGTCACAAATGACCACTGGATATGTCGTGTCGTGATTGCGTGTCAAACGCCCAATTGTGTCCCCGTGTCCAAATCAAAGTTGTGACCATGTTGCCAAACGTCCAGTCGTGAAAAACGAACCAACCCACGAGGTTAAGCACACTTTATGGATTTTCACCCTAGAAACACAAAGTGCTCCGAGAAGAAGCTCTCACATTTTCACCCGATAAACACAAACCCCACGGGTAGGGTTTGAGGCACACATCTCAAATTTTCACCCCTGAAATACAAACCCCACGGGTAGGGTTTGATGCACACATCTCGAATTTTCACCCGAGAAATACAAACCCCACGGGTAGGGTTTGAGGCACACATCTCGAATTTTCACCCGAGAAATACAAACCCCACGGGTAGGGTTTGATGCACACATCTCGAATTTTCACCCGAGAAATACAAACCCCACGGGTAGGGTTTGATGCACACATCTCGAATTTTCACCCGAGAAATACAAACCCCCACGGGTAGGGTTAGGCACACACCTAGGATATCCACCTGGGGATCCCAAATCTGATACTCAACCGACCGAGCCATTCTTGTATTAGGTAACAAGGATGTCGCCAAATTATTAATTAAAATTTTCATAAACTTGTTCCATACACCGAGTATTAGTCCAGATGGAACCAGGAATTCATTACTATATCTATTATTAATATCTATATTGACGGATTCTGGTCTTATCCAAAGGACCTGATAATTTGTTACAGTCTACGTGAATATTGACCCATTGTGGTCTGTGTTGAATATCAGCATTTGGTCAAAATGACTTCCCGAATATTGTCATAATATATAGACCATGACAGGTCGATATTTGCCTAGACCATATCAAATTATCAGGTCTCTTGTGGTTTGGTCATAAGACAATAGCCTCTTGAAGGCATCCCCGGCAATTAAACTCTGAAGTATAAACCGAGTTCACGTTATAGATTCTGGGATTCCCCAATACAACGGAACTACCTCACGTTTAGATTCTGGTGTCTTTGGTTGACAGTATCGTAGCGATTTCATAGTTCTCTCATACATGGTTCTTTGTTTATCGTGAATGAGAATTGAGGTCCTGTTAGAATGGAACCGTGTGTGCTGGGGCTGGGTCAAAACTTTCCCAAAGTGCGTAAGCTCAGTTACTCGACCAAACATGTCCCGATTCATACATGTTGTTCTCTACTTGGATTCATCATAGTGTAGGTTGGTACAATTGTATCCTAAATGCGTACATGTAACGTTAGACTAGCAACAATCAGCATCGCATATTCAAGGTATATGTCCCAGTTCAAAAGAGATTTCATGTAACTAACCTACCTTGCATATATATATATATATAGAGAGAGAGAGAGAGAGAGAGAGAGAGGGGGGGGGGGGGGGGGGGGGGGGGTGGGTTGGGGGGGTTCACTTATGTTATGTTATAAGAAAGGAGACATTGATCGAGCTACCTTTTCTAGTGATAGCCGTAGAGAGCTACACTTTAATTTCCTCATTACGAGCAAGAGAGCCTGAGGTTATGATGTAAGAGAGGGGGAGAGCTACTTTTTTTCTAATGGACATACTTTCTTCAAAACATGGAGAGATAACAACTGACAGAGCTACACTTTCTTGTAACAACTGACGGAGCTACCCTTTGTTGTAACAACTGAGAGAGCTCAACTTTCTTGTAACAACTGAGAGCTAAACATTCTAGTGACGACCAAGGAGAGCTACACTTCCATGATAGCTTCACATTCTGATTAATTAAAGCAGGGAGGAGCTACCCTTTCTTGTAACAAGTGAGAGAGCTACCCTTTCTTGTAACTATGGAGAAAGTTATCCTTTCTTGTAACTATGGAGAGAGCTACCCTTTCTTGTAACTATGGAGAGAGCTACACTTTGTTGTAACAACTGACAGAGCTACACTTTCTTGTAACAACTGACAGATCTACACTGTAACAACCGAGAGAGCTATACTTTGTTGTAACAACTGACAGAGCTACACTTTGTTGTAACAACAGAGAGAGCTCAACTTTCTTGTAACAACTGAGAGAGCTAAACAATCTAGTGACGACTAGGGAGAGCTACACTTCCATGATAGCTTCACATTCTAATTTATTAAAGCAGAGAGGAGCTACCTTTTTCTTGTAACAAGTGAGAGAGCTGCCCTTTCTTGTAACTATGGAGAGAGCCACCCTTTCTTGTAACAACTGACAGATCAACCCTTTCTTGTAACTATGGAGAGAGCTATCCTTTCTTGTAACTATGGAGAGAGCGACACTTTCTTGTAACAACTGACAGATCTACACTGTAACAACCGAGAGAGCTACACTTTCTTGTAACGACTGACAGAGCAACTGACAGAGCTACACTTTCTTGTAACAACTGACAGAGCTACACTTTCTTGTTACAACTGACAGAGCTACACTTTCTTGTAACAACTGAGAGAGCTACACTTTCTTGTAACAACTGACAGAGCTACACTTTCTTGTAACAACTGAGAGAGCTCAACTTTCTTGTAACAACCAAGAGAGCTAATCTTTCTAGTAATGACCACGGAGAGCTACACTACCATGAAAGCTTCACATTCTAATTAATTTAAGCAAGGGTGAGCTACACTTTCTTTTTACTGGATTCAATTCTGATTTGGTATGGTATCCATTAAAACCTTTTCCTGCAGTTTACTGGCATTTCACTTCTTGGTATAGGTTGCTTTATTGGGATGGGCACCTTTCTCTTACAGGAATTCAGTTAATATAAATTTTTACTTTCGTACGAGGTTTATTGACCAAGTCAAAGAAAATTTTATTTTAGTAAGCCTCTAGTGGTAATATTTAAAATTCATTACTTCTTTCATAGTATGAAGTGGAATTGAATGCAAGATTTTTTTAGCACATCTTTGATTTTTCCCCCTCTTTTCTTTCCTCTGTTTTTGGTCTTAATTGTGTGAAATACTTCTTCAGAAATAGCATATTTAACTGTCAAATCAAAATGGCCACCTGGCTGTCATTTTTATTTAACCAGTCTAAAAATTTAAAAGAGGACAACTTGGGAACAAAAAGAATCTACCTTTGAAATTTGAGAAAGATCCATTTAGTATGTACTGCTCAAGATATACATATAACAAATTTTCATTGTCAGAATCCAAGATGAATGCCTAGCTTTATGATTGTGGGCTAAAAACAGTATTTTATAAATCATATACAGAACCTAAATTGATGATATTCTCATTCCATATCTCTTTCTTTGATAAAGTCACAATACTTTTGACTTGCAAATGAAGCAATGTTAATTTCCAGCTCTGCTAAGCATTATTCATAACAAAATGTATAAAATGAATGCTGTTACACTGAAACAGGGTAATTTTGAGGCAAATGGCATTACATAAAATCAAATCCTCCAGATGAAACAAATTCTCTTCAAATTTGGTAAACAGTATAAGTATGATAGGAAGATATGCATTTCCCTCCATCATGCAGCTTATTCCCCTTATCTCGCAGTTATGCCCCTTGGGATTTCATTTAATAGAATATTGTAAAATCAGTTACTTTCAGTTTTAAAATTTATTCACATAGTTAACATTTTCTTGCATAAGTATTTTATTATGTAACATGGGCCCCATCTAACATTTCATCTTCCAGCTGGAAGGATTTGTCCTCCTAAGATATTTGTTGTTTATTAGAGGTATCCGGCCATACATGATCACTTTTGACAATGGCCCTATTACCTTCAAAGTTCAAGTTATTTGTCTCCACTTTTTCATAGCCAATTATCAAGACACTTGACTATTCCAAAGAAACTATTTCATGACTTTAACACATAAGACAACATTATTAATAATTAAAGGCCATAACGATCACGTCAACTTTTAAAAAACTTGAGAACAAATCATTCCGGCAGCAACTGGCCCACAACATGACCTTTGTTTTCTAGGTAATTTAGATATATATATAACAAGATTACATCTCAAAGTTTACAGTTTTATTACTTATTTCTACATAAGGAGTTTGATGCTTCAATTGTCAGCTGAGAGTCAATGTCATGACATGAATTATTGATGGTATACAATTGAATGAAAAAGTTGAAATGTTTTCTTGAAATCTACAATCTCATGATCAGTGATAAACAACAAGTGTCACATGACATCCAATGTCATGTGATCATGTCTTTGTTTGACATAAACCATAACAAAGAACTGTCCATTACAATATACCCAAATGTGTGTTGAACATGAACAAACAAGAAGGGTAATACCATGAAATTTATTTATGTTCATTGTTCATGTCATTCTCTGAACACATCTGTGTCATTTTGACACAGCTCACTGATACGATCACAACACTGTGAATTAGGAACTTATCCTGAAGTAGATTTTGGCTAAAGTGTTGCTGGACAACCAGTGAAAATTATTGGTAATAAATTCTATGCAGTCACATGTTAACTTTTACTCATAATCAATTCAAGGTCACCACATGCTATACATTGGAGGAAATGAGATGTTATGAACTCCAGGTAGTCACTGCTAATCAACTGCCAGGTAGTCACTGGTAATCAATTCCAGGTAGTCACAAGTAATTAATTCCAGGTAGTCACAAGTAATCAATTCCAGGTAGTCAAGGGTAATTCATTCCCAGATAGTCACAGGTAATCAATTACTTCTAGCTACACATATACAGCAGAATACTTTATAACTTCTTTCTCCTTGTCACAATTTTACTTTTAATACTCAATGCTTCTATTCACTTCTATACTGTTAATGAGCAGGACTGTCTGTTGGTTCCTCGTCACTGTAAACACACACACAAAAAAAGAGTTCATTAAATTTCTATCCAAAGTTTTAAAAATCTTAATAATAAAATTAAACTTAACATAGAAACATCTGAAAGATATGAATATTCCTTCTCTGACTACCAATCCAAACTGATAATTTTAACCAAGTTTGAATAATTTCCATGGAATCTTAACAAATAATACTGAAAAGTATTCATTTCTTGTATAAACTCTGGTTAAGTTAACCCCATCCCAGGGGAATAGTGAAACCTATATATAATTAAATTCAAAACATTTTCATTCTACCATATTGAGAAGAAAATTTTGAAATTAGAATAACTTTTATCATTTTTTGCTCCACAGATCAACCCCTGAGAGTCAGCCAGTGTCAAGATATACATACCAACAAACTTTCATCCTATTCTGATAGTTCTAACAAAGTATGAAATATTTTTATATAAACCATAATAAACTTCATCCCCCTCCTCAGGGGAAATGTGAGACTCTAGAGGGTATTTGAGAAATTTGAGAAAGAATCATCCAGCACTTCTTGAGAAAAAGTTGTCACAAACTTTCATTTTCTAACTCTAAGATGGCCATCTGTCAGCCATTTTGTTTTTCCGATCAGTCTCAGAATCAAAAGTAAACAACCAGAGACCAAGGGGAACCTACATACGACATTTGAGAAAAATCCATCACATACTTTCATTGATAAAGTCAAAGATGGTTGCTTACAGACATTTTGTTTTTCTGGTTAAGTCCTAGTATCAAAAAGGCACAGCTCGGAAAAGATCAACCTAGTACTTCTCAAGAAATAGCAATAACAAGAATAGTTTACAGATGTAAGGACGGATGGACTACAGAACAACATTTTAAATAGCTCACAATTTTATAATGGTGAGCTAAAACTGTAGCCTTCAACTAACTTCAATAACACTAGCTTAGAAATCGACACAAACCTGTCTACTAATCAATCAAGAGAGTAACAATATTCTACTTGTGCATGACAACAGGGGCCGACAGATCAAGAGGGAGATAATTATACTATACTGGAGTAGAAAACTGCATGTGACTCTTCTACTTACATTTGAAGTGAGAATGCCGATGTCTGCGTTTGTACCCAAAATTAATCTTGTAATGTGATAAGGTTTTCTCAATGACTGTGGCTTCGACACAAACTTGTTGTCGGCTGTCAAGAAAAAGACAGAAATAATTAAAATGATATGGTCAGTAATGTTTATATTGCTAATGTATTAAGTACAAGTGCTACAAACAACCATACATTATCACAGCATTGCAGATGATATGAATACCCTACGACCCAAAGCTGTACAGAATGTTAAGTGTAAACAGGAATGTACAGTGATTTTACCAGTTTCATGAGCTAGCTTAAGTCACAACATGTTGATTTTTTTGAACATATATGTCATGTATTGTGACAATCATATAAGAAATGAAGTCTGTAGAACAGTGAGGTTGTTATTCTATTTATAGTTACAGTGACATGGCATTTGATTGCAGAAGGTGAAATCACAAATCTGCATATGAAGTGATGTTTGTGAGCACATGTGTGAAGTATTGTGAAGAATGGATATGAATGCAGCTTGTAGAGTGGTGATAAATTTCTATTTAAAGCAACAATGACATAGTTTTTCAATGCACAAATTTGAACCATAAACTTGCATGAGAGGTAATGCTTGTGAACATGTGTGAATGTACATTCCCTGTGTGGGTATACATATACAAAATGAGCCAAAGTCTTAAATAATTCATTGATACGTACATCATGTCAGCTTCCAAAAAAATAGTTTTTGTATAGCTTTGGTCTCCTATGAAAAATTAAGAGTTTCTGAATGTCTTACCTTAGCATGGGCATCCCCATAAGGGTAAAATCTTTCCCACCAACCAGCAACACCTGATAAAAGAGATAATCATAGATAAAACACCACTATATATGCCTCACAGCACATTTCACACATAAAGAATTTAGACTTACCAATGTTTGATGTTATTTTTGTATTTTTTATTCCAGTGATCACACCAGACCTGAAGTCATAACAGTGATATCAGCTGAGGTCAAATAGGTGATAACAGCTTAGGTCACATGCGTAATAACAGTTGATGTCTAACAGCAATAACAGATGACATTACACTGATGATAACAGGTGAAGCCACACACGTGATATCAGATGAGGTCTTACAGCAATAACTGATGACATTACACTGATGATAACAGGTGAAGTCACACACATGATATCAGATGAGGTCTCTCAGCAATAACAGATGACATTACTGTGGCGACAACAGCTGAGGTCACATAACATCTTCACAGAGCTGACTCCAGTTACTTAACAATATTTTGTTCATATAATTATTACTGACCTTTTCTAATCTGATTCGGTCACCAACAGTTGGTGGGAAGTATGCCTCTACAATGATGACATCCTCTGTTGTAACCTTACGTTGTTTCCCTGCCACTTGTACGACTGCAAACAGTCTCCCTAAGTCCTCCGACGCCAATGTTTCATTCACCAAGTCCACAGCAGCTATACATAAAGTTAATACATATAGCCATGTATCATCTTTAACAATTTCTAAAAGTATTTTTTAAGAGGTTGAAATTTATGAAAGTGTATAAATCAAACATGCTGTATTTGTTACTTCTTATCAATTCAAGAGATTTACTAGAGGAATTTACTGAATGAATTGAACAGAAATGTTTGTCTTTATTATCTCAGTTGACATTAAAGTAGTTACATTTCAGGGTAAAAATTCTTACTTTTACTGACTTCGGGAGAACACTTCAGCTCTGCAGCTGTGCCAAATCTCCGACTACAATTAAAACAACAAGATTACATTGAGGCAAATTTACTTATGAATATATATTACATGTATGATATGGAGGGGAAAATGTGATTACTGGTGGATCTTGGTGCAAACTGTCTAAGATCTCTTTTGTTATATGTAAGTTAGATCTTTTCTCTTCTATTTTCCTTTTTTTAACAGAAGGTTAACAGATCAAATGGCAACAATATTCCACCTGTTACCTAAATATGAAGGATGGTCCCTATAGGACCTTTGACAAATAACAAAAATAATCTGCAAGCTGCACATGTCAAAATCCAAGACAGCTTTCTATTTCCATTTTTCTCCTCAATTCAATCAGCTAAAAATAAGGCATGATGAGCAACTAAGGACAAAAAGGAATGTATATAACCATGTTTTAGAATTTTCTATCCAGTATGTCTTGTTAATATTCATTACAATCTTCGAAAGGCAGGGGTAAAAATTTATTCATGATGACCACATGTTGACTGTTTCCTTTAAGGGCATGTAAATTTAAATAATTTCAGTTGCACAAACCCACAGGTAGCCTGAAGATGGCATTTGGACAAAGTGTTGGTTAAGGATGTGGTGTTTTGTTAGACATAAAAAAAATAATGTTTCAAATGTATATGCCATAAAATGCCAGTTTTACTGCATATAAGTCTGACCTTTGACCATGTTACTTTGAAACTTAGCCCAAAACAATTTTCCAATGATTCCCTACAGCTCTGAAATGCATATGCCTATACAAAAAGTTGAAATTGACAGTAACAAAAAGGTGAAATTATAGTTTTACTTCTTCACAGTTTTGATGACCTTTGGCCTTAGCTTTGACCCAATAACCTTAGCTTGTGGACCTTGACCTTAGCTTTGACCTAGTGACTTAAAAATATTTGCATCATTCATATACACACCATAACAAATGTTGACAGTTTCAAATTCGAAAAAAAGTTAACAGATGATGCATGACCATGGACAAAAAGCAATAGCAAAACATCATCTTTTGTGCTTGAGCCTTTAGCTCAGGTGACCTTAACATGAATCGACAACAATGATTACCACCAGAAAGAAATCATTGTCTATACATATACTTATCAAACTGCTGACCTAAGGGGCCATTTTAACCAGCTTTGTGTTTGAAACCACTTTTCTGAATTTTGATTGTTTTTCTTTTTCTTTGTTTTATAGCCTATCAATAATAAGATTAATTTTGGATCAAGAAATGATCCCAAGGCAGCAGGAGGGGCTCAAAAGAGACAAAATGTTTGCTGACTGCCTTGGGCCCTCCTAACCCCTTCCCCACCCATCACACACACACACATACAGAATGACCTATTCTTTGAAAATAATTTTTTAATTAACCATGAATCTACATTAATGTTATGAAGACGTACCTGTGGGTACTGTTTGAAATGTGGAAATGTCTGTTGATACTGAAGGAGCCAACAGGGTACTTTCCTCTCATAACACAGGTGGCAGCATCTGTTCCAAAGAAATATAACTCCTTATATTACAATGACATTCAAGAATTTTAAAGCATGTTAACAACTGTAATGAAAAGATGAGATGAAGTTTTAACATGCCAAGTCAATATTGTTGTGTGCTCACAATGTTTCTATTACAAAATGATCTTTGAGTAACTACCAGCTCTCAAATGCTGAACTTTTATTTATATGCAGGGTTGTGCCTAGCGTAATTAGACTACTGTTCCAATAACATCAGAGGCCGCTGGTCAGTCGATTTATTATCTGACATTATTGTGTACAGTGTTAAATGCTGCCTGTCATAAGTTTCTTGTTGCCTAAATTACGATAAAATCTTTAAAAGTCTGGGCACAAATCCTCTCATGGGTAAGTCTTGCATTTGAGGGATAGTTACTGATTTGAGTAATCAGTTAGTTACTCAAATGCAGGGTGATACTGAAATGGAAACACATAAAGTTCTTTGAAAAAAACACACATTTTTAACAAGACCCAATAGCCAATGAGACAATATATATAAATGCAAAGGAAAATTTCATTTCTGTTATATAACCTGACAATTTTTATCATTGACTCTGTTCTCTCTTGACTTTAGTACAGTATACTGTATAGCCAATGGTACAATAATTGTAGCATTTCGTGCAAATATCATAGGTGAGCATGAATTTACCTGTATTCTACTTTTAGTCTCGTTCTAAGCAGTTGATAAACAACGGTGAGATAACTTGTTATTTGAAAAAAAATGAGACAACTCAATTATCTTTTTTTGTGTAAAAATGTACAAATTGCATCGGTTATTAAGTCATGTTAAAAATAAGACGCCTTTTTGTTGCGAATGTTTAAAAGTACTCAATGTGGGTCTTCTTCAAATGGTCATGCACTAACTGATTACTAAAATCGGTCACTATTACTCAAATACAGGATTATTACCAAAATGCACGGTTGTTTGCGCTCAACCTGTTTAACATTGGTAGAGCAGTTAGACTTCACTCGGTGTCCTTGACTAAGTAAATCATCGAAGTTATTAACTTATTTACAGTTCATAGTGAATGCAAAAATAATTTCCAAACAAACAACCTGATGTATATTTCAAATTGAAATGTACCTGTTTTTGAAGCATTCAGAGGGCCTTTCAAAGTCTTGCATAAAGCTGGAACAAGCTGACGAGAGAGAAATCCGCATGCCTTGTTCGCCATTTTCGTTTATGAATCTAGATCTCGGAGACGTTTTAATGATTGAGTAAACAAATAAACGAAAGACGGAATGACCATTACGTGATCGCTGAAGCAAACTGAAACATCTAAGAAATCAGATATCATGCAACATGTACTCATGTAAGAGAAAAATACTGAAAACATCTAAGTGGTTATTGATAAAGCATTGTCTTTGAAGACCACAATGTGAGCAATCTCGATGCTTGCTATCGTTAGGTAAGGAGCTAGGGTTCATTTCAATTTTAAGACATCGAAATATTCACATCACTCATTAAATGTTTTATCGGAAGACAAGAGTACTATGGCCATCGTGAAAACTAAAATAGACAAACGGGAAGGTTTCAATGTAGCGTTGTGATATGCCTACCGTCGACGATGAAGGCCCTGGAGAATCACTTCGAAGGGACGTGATTGAAATGTACAAGAGTTTAAAGGATGAATTTACGACAAAGAAGCATGCATTTTTGCGAAGCTTAGGAGTGAGGAATCTGTCAGAAACAGGACAAGAGGAGACTAAACAAAATATACCAACTTATCAGTCAAAGACATCCTTGGGGGCGGGGGGAGTAGAATATATTCACATTCAATACATAAGGTGACCGCCCTTTCTTGTCGGGAGCATAAATTCGCTAGCATTTAGTTACACTAGGATAATGAGACTTGGTTCAACAAGAGTATACATTGGCTATATCAATGGGTGATTTCAGAATTAACAACATTATGCGTAACTACTATTGTAATGGCCTAAAAGCAAATGAAAATGTAATAATTCTTTCAAATTTTGTCGTTTGAAGATATCTTACATTTAAAATCATTAATCATTCACATTCTACATGTCTGAAATAAAATAAGATATTAAAAAAAGTCTTCAAGGATTCCCTAACTAGGCGTAGACCGCTTTTAACTAAATCGTGTTCTTTGTACCAAAGACCGTATTACACCATCTTTTCAACAGATGTATACAATTTCAAAAGGCAGTTAAAATAATTAAAGATATAATTATTTTTAAAAACACACAAAATTGGTTCATGCTCAACCAAAAAGTTTTTAAAAATTAGTACTAACACATGATACGATATATATGCAATGTATCAAAATTCGCAACTTCTTAGTTACAGAGTTATATCCCTTTGTTAATTTTTTTGCCTCTATTATTCTTTTTCTTAAAGTATTCATCAGATTAATTGATGTTCTTCTAGTGTCCAGAGTCTTATCGGCACATGTATTGGAAATCAACTTTAACTTTAGAGTACCATTATGTATAATGCAAAGGAGTCCGTTCTCAAAGTCAGTAGACAAGTATAGACAGAGTGTCCTGTAAACTATTGCTGTCGATCCCTGATGTGCCGTCCTCTCAAAATATGTATTGCCTCAATGTTTTGAGGATTTGCAGATCGATTCGTCAATTTCATTGTCCTCGGTATATCGATATAATTACATCGAACCTCGTCCAGCATTATGACATTTGGAACTGTAAGGTGAATAGCTGTCCAGTCTCCCTTGGTACCTAGCTAAAAAATAAGCTCTTGTTTTCAAATTGTATTTGTTTATTATACCAGATGGGTATTTTAAGAATGGTTTCATTTGTACATTTAAGACTTTCCTTTTTTGTCGATGTATGAAGGATTGACAGACGATCCGGGGCTAGTACATGATCGTGAGGACACACAGCGTTTATTCCGCTATACACGAACGCACCGTATGTACCGGGTGTTGGTCCTGATATGGACATGTAAAGCTCAAAATGCACTATTTCGGAATTTCTCGTCAAGCAAAAAACAATTAACTAAAATTAAGAAACTATCCATTTCACTCAAACTTAATAGTACAATGATTCCAGAAATATTGAAGTGCACCAACCTAACTTTATGCTTAACAGCTTGTCATATACGTCCCTGTAAAAACTAACGACATTCAGAAAGTTAGTTTGCGCCCTACGTGTTTTGTATAAAGCTGCGAGCCAGTATCCTTCTAGGCCTAAGGTTATCTTGTCAAATTCGCAAGATATTTCGCACATTATATTACATAAGTAATTAAATAAATAAAACTTTATTTTTCCCCCTTTACAAGCTGACAAACTATGGTTCATATTAAATTTCCGGAACTTGTTTTCCTTTCTTCGGTTCTTTATTTACATATATAAAAAGTATCCCTCCAACGAAATGTCACTCTCTTGAAACGTCTTGCAAAATTTTGGAAGTTATGAGCCTTCCATGGGATAAATCAAAACGTGCAATTGAATGTCACAACGGCACTTTTGAGTTAACTTTTATGATGCTGAACGTAAGTTATGTGTAATATAAAAAGTTAAAAGTAAATCGACATCTCTATTGTGTATACTAAAAGTGAAAGTTCTTTCGTTTTAAACGATTTCTTAGAATTTAAAGCCAAAAATCCAATGTCTTCTTATGTGGATCAAATCCACAATCCCCTGAATCAGACATTGCCCTTCAAATACTCCTGCATGAGTATATGAGCGTATTGAAAGACCAGATTTGTACCACTGCATTTGTCATCCTCTACTGTGTACTATATTACTTCTATAATTAGGAGTCCAAGATTACAGAGTCTGTCCAGGCACGTATATAACTTTTATCTACGTCCCTGGTCTGTCCAATCATTTTATTTTGTCACCATGTAATGTTAATTCAAAAACATATCTCTTGAAGTTGGCAAATGTAACATGAAACTGATGATATTGCATTAAAATACAAAGTTTCAATAACATAATAAAGAAAAATAGATTTAAATGTGTATTTGGATATTTCGAATTCCTTTCCCTTTCATTTAGTTTGGATGAAACACTTTCATTCAAACAATGCCAGATGAGTGATGCAGACCCTATAGACCTCTTGTATGAAGCTTCATATGTTTTATTTGATTAGAGGAAATAGGATTAAATGTTAAAATGGCTTGCCATAGTGTACATTTTGCACAAAGGACATGGGCTATTGTGAAGGGTCTTCAGACTGTATTCTCAAAATGCTGAATGAAGTAAGCCTCATGATAAGAAATATCATGCATTTGATTATTATGCATCTGTATCCCATTTACTTCTTAAGTATATATTCTTCACACATTGAAGAGTCTTAAGTTACTCTATCAAAAGTGTGAATTTGGTGACCCTGGAGTCTCGCATGTAAAGATTAACTGATATTAGAGTATATTGAATAATTATATTTTTTAACATTATTTGTTTAATTTCCAATTTAAAGAGCCAGACCCACTCCTCTACCGATATTATTTTAAATAAAAAAAAAAAAATGATGGTGCTAATTTATAATTATGCTGGAAGTCCTGCCCTCTGACGCATGCACAAAGAACTGTAAATAAATCTATCATCTTCCTATATGGCAGAAAGCGTGTGAGGGAAGGGGGGAAGAAAACCTGTTTTGATGGACTCATCTCTTCCTCCATTTTTGTTTTGGTTCTGACTGCGTCTGAATGTATCACATGACTTTTCCTCATCAATATTCATATCTGGTGTTGATTTATGAGACTAATTCTGGCACCGATATCTCCGGTACCCTTTCAATTTCAAGTTCGAAACTTTATACAAGTCTTTATTTGTATATTATCTATTAGTATACAACAACATTTCCAGTCATTAAAATATGAAAAAATATCTATAACGGAGTGGGTCTGGTTCTTTAATATATTAAAACTTGGTTAGATATGCACAGTTTACATTTGTACAATATGTGACACAATCATGGCCAAGTTAAAGTTTGTAACTTGATTTAGCTAGATCTCTAGAATTTCCACAAGTTATACATGTTTCTTGCTAAGATGAAATGAGGCACACAGTTTTTTATATGAACATAAGTCGACCCTTTTTTAAAATCTTTGTACAAAAAATTTCATATGTGGTCTTAACTTGTGCAGAATTTCCCTTTAACAAGATAATTTCTGTTACAACAACAAAAACAACATATAGAACTCGCATAACCATGCAAGATGCCCTTTGGCCTCTTCTATAGTGTTAAAACTGAAACATGCCTTTTAGCAAATTTCATCATATAGTAAGTGATGTTATGATGGATTTAACCTTATGTTTGGAAATATATGATTAAATGTGAAAGCTTTTGGTTAGAATGGCAACACTAAAGATACAATTGATTAGAATTTGTGTATGCTTTTTTTATATATATTGGTAAAATATAAACGAGACAAAGATATTAGCTTGTGTGTCATTAAGATGTATTGCATTAAGTTCTTACCTGTTGGTTGGTTAACTTAAATGTTGATAACTTAGATGGAGCATCTGTCTGGTGTTTAATGTTCTTGTGCTTGATGAATTTCAGTCTTGCTTTACATTTTTCTCACTACAAAGGTGCCTATATGTATATATATGCAGAATATGTATGTAACTGCATGTGTATGTAGATATCTATCAAGGTGATGCCCAGACCTATTATCCTTGGAAACATCTTTACTTAGATAATCACTCTAGATCAGTATAAAAATAAGGATTTATCGTAAATGTTCATGAATTTTATACATATTTTTTACACTATTTTTTTTATTGCAGATTGATCTAGGATTGACAAGACTTCAGACTGTTAATAAGATGGGATAGATCCAAGAATGCTGATGTCAGAGGAAGAAATAAAGTGGACCATCTAGACTTATTAAATATTCTGCATATTGTATAATGTGAAATGCATATATATGCAGAATGAATGGGAGACATACTTCGGAGTACTCCTCAGACTTAGAGATGTCACCTTCTGATATCATTGAGATTGAGGAGTCACCAATCAAATCTAAGAAAAAGAAAAAGAAATCATTTTCCCTTGATTCCAGGAATTACACCTGTAGGTCTTCATCAAGCAGACGACCTGAACAAGGAAAAACAGCCATCAATATCTCCGAGATTGATGATAGATCTACTCTCAATTCAACAAATAAAAAAACAGAGGGATCAAACAAGGGTTTGAAAAATAAATCAGGTTACAAAGGAATTAAGAGAAAAGCATCATCACCCAAAACAGAAACTGGAAAATTGACTGATGACAGTGACTCTAGTGATGAAGAGCTTCATCAAAGAAGGTCTTCTACCGGGAAACGGATTAAACGAGGGTTGGCCAAACGGTTGCACAGAAACACAGACAACAGCCAGGTCAATCAAGGGGTGCCCAGTGGATCTGAATTAGATAGTCAAGATGGATGGTACAGCACAATAAAATCCCAATCACTGTCATCATCACAAACTTACAGACATATTGGCAGTAGGGATTCACATCAACCAAACAGCAAGATTAGCTCAAGGTTTTCTCATGACCAACCAATTTCTATATCTACCTCTTCCAGTATTCCAAAACTGTCCACAGATGCTAATGTGTTGAAGCAAGCTAAAGAACCTCTGCATAAAAAATGCATCACTTATCAGGACTCTGATCCAAGTTCTGAAGGATTTGAACCAATTATATCTGATAAGGGGATGAATCATTTGTCTCCTAGCAGCAGTAGTGATGATTTGTTCCTTACACAAACTCCTGCTAAACAAAAACCTAAAGCCAGGAAAATAGTGTCTTCTGACACCACTGTCGATAGTGATGCTACTGTTAATGATAGTGATTCTACAATTTATAGTCCATTACATCAGAATGTCCCTGATATCCCAGATCTCACTCTAAAGTTTATGTCTTCATCATCAGAGGAGGAGCTAGACAAAAAAATGGTGCACCTGGTGAGAAAAAACTCTAAAAGCTCAAAGAAACAATGTTATCCTGTAGGGAGACACAGGGAGGACATTTCTACTAAACACACAACTTCACATACAGATATTAACAGCCTAAACTCTTATCATCATAGGAATTCTGGAGAAAGTCAAGAATCAGAATCCTTGTTTGGGAAGCCGCCATCCTTGTCACAACATATAAATGATGATGACGATCCATACAAATTTCCATCACAATCACAATGTAGAACACAATCTATGCCAAGTCTAGAACAGATGATTAATTCCAGCTCCAAGGTTTCGACCAAATCACCACAAGATGGTAGGGGAGAGATCACAGACCAGGACATTACAACGGATTCTGATGTCGATGTGCCTCTGGCTAGTCTAGCTTTCAACAAATACAAAGCATTAAAAGGTCAGTCCTCAGTAAAACGCGAGGTTAGTGAAGTGGATGATGATGGTAACTCTGAGTTCAATCTTTGGCCACAGTCCGACAAACGTATCAGATTAGGTCCTTATTCTGGAAATTGCTATAAAGTCAAAGAAGAGAGTGAACCTGAAACCCAAAATTATTCTATAGGATCTGAAACGACACACAAGGAATCTGCAGGACCAGACACAACATCAATTGTGGATGATAAAAGTAATATTAAGGAAATTCTTGTACCAAAAACAGAACCTCCCTCATATGGTTACACACAGGATTTAGATGTGGTGTTTGTGGAGGATTCTGACTCCGACTATGAAGACATGTCTCAGAAGATTGTAGAGATAAGCAGTGATGAGGATGATGAATTGCAGGATTATGATGATGCTGCTGAATTCAAAGCATATTTCAACTTGCCAGATTGTGATTCTGATGACAATGACTTACAAGTCCGAGGACATAGAAGAGATGTAGATGGAGACACGACTAGCAGCAATACTGCTAGTAACATTGACTGGGTAACTTTTGATAGTGATGATGACTTCAGTTATGGACTTCTTAATCAGGATGTCAGTGGTGATGATTCAGTATATAATCATCCCACCCAGAAAGATACAGAGAACAAAGTGAAATTTGTTAAAGAAGTGGTGACATTTGATGAGAGCGATGATGACAATTATCCATATGGGATAGCAACACAGGTAGATAAGGGCAAGCAACTCGACAGGGTGAAAGATGAGAGGTCTCATGATGATATGGACAGTCTCTATACTGCAGACACACAGCTTGATGATGTGGACTCAAATGGGGAGAATGCGAGGTGTCATGATGAGATGGACAGTCTCTATACTGCAGACACACAGCTTGATGATGTGGACTCAAATGGGGAGAATGCTAGGTGTCATGATGAGATGGACAGTATTTACAGTGCAGAAACACAGCTAGATGATGACCAGAGGCCTGATGTATACATTGATGTTGATGGTATAGATGAAGAAAAAGTGGATGTGAAGGTGGAGATACTAGACATAGCAGACACTGGCAAGGAAGTTTCAGAGATTGACCCATTTGATTTGTGTATGCCAGTGAATAGAGGTCAGATGGCTCATATGAACCAAAGGCATCTTAAAGTCAGACCTGGTCATCAGGTAATGAGGAGCAATTTAGAATCTAATGTCAACCAACAATTCAAATCTTATCGTACAGACTGGTCAAACAAGTCTGAAAAAAAACTAAAATCTCAGAGTTTGAAGAAGTCAAATAAAAGTCAGACTGTTACTAGCAGTCATGAAAGACTTTATGAAGATAATGTTTACACAGTGCAGACTCAGGTAGATGGTGCTACCATCAGAGGAGCAGGTGACTATGAGGATGATATCTTCACAGCACAGACACAGATAGATGGCACTATCAACAGTGGAACAGATGACAATGGGAATGATATCTTCTCAGCGCAAACACAGGTAGATGGCCCTGTTAACACCAGTGGAACAGATGACGAGGATATTTACGCAGCTCAGACACAGGTAGATGGTTCTGCTGTCATCAATGGAACAGATGACGAGGATATTTACACAGCTCAGACACAGGTAGATGGTTCTGCTGTCATCAGTGGAACTGATGACGAGGATATTTACGCAGCTCAGACACAGGTAGATGGTTCTGCTGTCATCAGTGGAACAGATGACGAGGATATTTACGCAGCACAGACACAGGTAGATGGTTCTGCTGTCATCAGTGGAACAGAAGACGAGGATATTTACACAGCTCAGACACAGGTAGATGGTTCTGCTGTCATTAGTGGAACTGATGACGAGGATATTTACACAGCTCAGACACAGGTAGATGGTTCTGCTGTCATCAGTGGAACAGATGACGAGGATATTTACGCATCACAGACACAGGTAGATGGTTCTGCTGTCAGCAGTGGAACAGAAGACGAGGATATTTACGCAGCACAAACACAAATTGACGGTGGTCTCATTAGCGGAACAGGTGACGATGAGAATGATATGTTTACAGCACAGACTCAAGTAGATGATATTGCTAACATCAGTGGAACAGATGACGAGGATATTTATGCAGCTCAGACACAGGTAGATGGTTCTGCTGTCATCAGTGGAACAGATGACGAGGATATTTACACAGCTCAGACACAGGTAGATGGTTCTGCTGTCATCAGTGGAACAGATGACGAGGATATTTACACAGCTCAGACACAGGTAGATGGCACTGATATTATTGGAACAGATCATGAAAAAGATATTTATATGGCACAGACACAGGTGGATGATGTTGGTATGTTCCATGGTGTAGATAGTGAAGAGGATGATATTTATGCCGCTCAAACACAAGTTGATAGGACTCATATATTTACAAGTGAGAAAGGTGATGACTCTTCTGCTGCGTACACATCTGTTCCATGTAAGAAGCGGAAATTCCATTTTGATAGAGGAAAAATGAGGAACCAGGTTGAGAGAGCCAGATTTCAGATAGAACATAAGAAAGACATTAGTGGGACAACAGCAGGGATTTTGCAGTTGAATCGACTTCTATCAGGTAGGCCAATCTTAAATTTATGATAACTATTTTGTCATCCTCTTACTCAATGGTATTGAATTAGTATAGTAATTTCGTGTCTGTTTATCATAACTGTATACTATATTTTATATATGTATGGCATACAAGGGTACAATTGTGTAAAACTGCAGCCAACTTTTATCTACTGTATACCACGCATTACAGCTGCAGAAAACAAATCTGTGGTGATATCTGCTAAGAGTTGCTTTTGAAAACTTTTGTGTAATAGGAATAAAAAAAAAACCTTGTCTAGTGATTCTACATTGCACAAGTTTGTTGAAAGATTGACACACAGTGTAATAACCTAACCTTCACTGAACTTCGTATGTGGACAGAAAATTCAGCAACTGGAACATGAATTCAAAGTGACAGTATATCATTTCCTCAGTATCATTACTGCAGTAATGCTGTAAGTTGTTATCAAATTCATCTTTTTATCGTCTTGAAAAAATGTTGCAAAGAGTATTTGTTTGACATATTTATTGTCCTGTGAACAGCAAGAGGGTTTTTATTTTTTGTAACCATTGGCTACTTCCCTGAACAACATACAGGAGGCCCATCACATCCAGAGAAATTTATTTGACCAAGGATACAACTACAACAACACAGATTAGCCCATTTCTGAGCTTCCCAAGAAACACAAACCGCCATGGGTAGGAAGCATTGAACCACACACTGTGGATCTTCACCTCAGCATCAATGCTATAACTGACTGTGCTGTCACATTTAATGAACAGTTGTATGAAATTGTAAATGCTGAGAGACTTAATGATAGATCCAGCTTTTAATGTGTTTATTTAGTGTTCAGAAGATATGTTATTTTCTTTGTTGTCAGGTGAGGAAGTATCTGCAGATCAGAAGAGGAGTGCAGACTTTGACTCCTTCTTAGCTACAAAACAGAAGGACAGAGTTGGTGACGCCTACTTGGATGGGATACAGATGGACAGAGAAGGGGATTCCTCCAGAAAAGAGGACAGTAGCGACGTGTATATGGCTGAAACACAAATAGACAATATTATAATTAGTAGAGCTGAGGAGGAGGACAGAGGGAAAACACATGTCAGCAGTAAAACTATTACCGGACATAAAAACACCCCCGTTAACTCTGAGGAGCAGATGGACACAGAGTCGTATGATGTTGAGGCACAATATGATCTACCTAGTCCAAACTCTACATTACCGATACCAAAAGAAAAACATATACAGAGAGAAAAATCTATTGTCAGCTCCATAGATAAAATTCGGTTTAAAAATCTTATTCCTATTAAGAAAACAGTACTGCCAACAGAACCTCAGAGATTGAAAAACAGATGTGAAAAATCAGAATCATTTAGGATAGAGAAATCAACCTTTTACTCAAAAAAGTCAGGAAAGGTTCCTTATCAGAATTCTGCTAGTAAGAAGCTTACCTCCAGTATGGATGGATGGCTGTCTACTGCCAGGTCTTCGAAGTCACGGGTTCAACCTGAAACGAAAAGGTCAAGGTCTAAAAAGCAGCCAAAAGAACAACTGGACAACTCACAACAGATAAAGGCAAAGATGTCGAAGGCTAGAGCTCAGATGTCTAGTCGCCAGCAAAGCAGTGTTAAACCAACAGCTCATCGAAAAACATCTATCTCAGGTAAAAAAAACATGGAAAAAACCCAAATTTCTCTCATGTATTTGGATACTTTCATAAGTCTAAGGGTTATATAATTACCCTCCAAGTACATAAACCTGGTGTTATGGTGATGTTGTATAGAATTGCAGGGGAGTTAAGTTCGTAGTATCTTAAGTCATTAAAGATATTAAGTATCAAATATTTCTAGTCAGTGAAATTCTCAGACATGCTGTACTGTTCATTGCTATAGAGACATGGCATGGAATTTCATCCATGTGAACTAGCACTCACTAGGACAACCACAAAATATTAGCCCAGAAAAATTAAACAACTACAGTATACAACTAGAAATTGTTGTTAACAATTTGGCGGGCTTTTCACTTCTTTGGTGACAAGTTGACCGGAAGCTGACATTTATCCTGATAACGATATATGAGAAATGTTCCTTGTTTGTTAGTCCATACAACATATTCAAAGATGAACTTTGAATCTTGAAACGTTAAGGAGATATAACAACATAATAACGAAGAAATACACTTTTTAAAGTTTCTAACATATTTGACCCCTGTGACCTTGAATGTTGGTCAAGGTTATTCATATTTGCAAGCCTTATAATGTAACATCTAATGATCAATATATCACCAATATTAGTTCTCTAGACCTTGTGAGACTTGACAAGAAGATTGTTGAACACTGGTACCCTATTTTGTATATTTGAACTTTGACCCCTATCGGAAACCGGAAGTTGACATTCTGCTTGAAGTTTTCCTAATGACAATCATTAGGAAGTGTCCACAGAAGGTTTATAATCAATTTTCATCATTGTAAGCCTTCTAGAAATTGAGAAACTGTCATTTAACGATTTTTAGTTAATTGACCTCTGTGACCTTGAAAGTGGGTCAAGGTCATTTATATTATCAAACTTTGTTGTCAGTTACATATCCTTCCTGTATATGAAATTTCAAGCATCTAGGCCTTCCAGAACTTGAGAAGAAGTTTTTCACAGATTGGTACCCTAAATAGCTCTTTCCAAGTTTGTGCCCTACCGAAAACCGGAAGTTGAACTTTTAAGGAAGTTTTTCTTATGACAATCAATAGGAAGTGTCCACAGAAGGTTTGTAATCAATTTTCATCAATGTGTGCCTTCTATAAAGTGAGAAACTGTCATTTAACTATTCTTAGTTATTTGACCTCTGTGACCTTGAAAGTGGGTCAAGGTCATTTATGTTATCAAACTTTGTTGCCAGTTACATATGCTTCATATACATGAAATATAAAGCCTCTAGGCCTTTCAGAACTTGAGAAGAAGTTTTTCAAAGATTGGTACCCTTAATAGCAGTTTTCAACTTTGACCCCCTACCGCTAACCGGAAGTTGAATTTTGAGGTACGTCTCTCTTATATCATTCGACAGGCAATGTCCACAGAATATTTATGTCCAAAGTTGAAGACTTTGGGCAGATTAACAAAGGAGAAATTACCATTAAACGATTTTTACATAATTGACCCCTCTTACCTTGAAAGTGGGTCAAGGTCATTTATATTAACAAACTTGATAGATAATTGATCAGACATCTTACACATGAAATATCAAGACTCAAGGCTTTGCAGAACTTGAGAAGAAGTTTGTCAAAGTTAGTAACCCGAAATAGCACTTTTCAAATTTGACCCCTACCAGAAACCGGAAGTTGATTTTTTTGCAATATTGTCTGATGTCTATTGTTAGGGAATTGATAACATAATGATGTAAACAAAAGATTAAGTTTCAATACTAATTGGTTATAGAGAAAATGTCATTTTAAGATTTTAAGACATTTGACCCCTGTGACCTTGACAGTTGACCAAGGTTATTCATATAACGACCCTTTATAGACTGTTGACTGGACATATTAAATATGAAATATCAAGTCTCTAGACCTGATAGAATTTGAGGAGAAGTTCGTCAAAGTTAGTAACCCGAAATTGCAGTTTTCAACTTTGACCCCTACCAGAAACCGGAAGTTCACCATTTATCTAAATTTTTTTCTGACGAAATATGTTTGCAGGGTTATGTTTATAAACCGCTTTAAGCGTAAGTCAATAGCTTGAGCCGTTATTGAGATACAGCCATTTAGGTAAAATCGGATATGACGTCATGGCGGCCATTTTGTTTTTCTGATGATTTTGTAAATGACACTAAATGGTAGAGGACATCTGGGGAAACCTTTCTGATATAAATTATTCCAAAAAAAACCCGTTGGTAAAGATCTAGATTGAGTTTTTCCAAATTGTCGGCATTTTTAAAAGATCAAAGGAAATTTTCAAAATGGCATACAACGGAAGTGGTAAACGTTACAGAAAAACTAAAATTACTAAATTCATCGGAAGGACATTCTGCATCGATGTTTTAAAGAAATTTTCAAGAAAAATCAAAATTGAAAAAAAAAAATTTTGTTTTCAAATTTTCAAATATTGACCCCACTGCGAGCTTTTTTATTAGACATATTTTGTATTATAATGGCATGGGAAAAGTTAGATAAGGAAATTGTCTACAAATAACATAATTGGACGAACTCTGTACACTCAACGGTTTTCGAGTTACGGCCGTTTTAAAGTTTTTAACTTAAGACGTCATAGCGGCCATATTGGATTTTTGACCTACTTAAAAAATCTGCATCGTCACCTTCCAGTATGTACCTATAACATAGTCAATACATATTAGGTGTGGTCTTTACCGTTTAAAAGATTACGAACCCACAAAAT